GTAAGTGGTTATTTTTAGCATGTTGGTGAACCATATTTTCTGATGTTTTATCTACAAAGATCCAGGTGATGTAAGCATTACATCATGAAAACATTTGGTTTGAGGGCCAGGTAATGTGAATATCCTATCATGGAAAAAATTGGCTGATGGGAACATATGAGAATTTTGGCTGAAGGGCGAGGTGAGGGGAATGAATTGTAGACTACCTATGGAGTCTTTTACCATCTTGATATAGCATATCAGATGACAATATAGACATGGGAAAATGAAAAAAAAAAACTTTTGCAAAAAGAGATTATAACATTGCAAAGGGGAGACATGGGATCTTGACACTGCACATGAGGGTTTGTGTGAGTCTTGACACATGAGTGTTTGTGTGTCTTGACACATGAGTGTTTGTGTGAGCCAGGCCTACAAGCTACATCCATTTTCAGTAGAGAGGTAAATTGGTGTATGGCATAATTTTTTTCTTAATTTTTAGGAACTATAGAATACAGTGTTACAGAAGTATCTAGTGGGATGTTAATTCTAGTGGGATGTTAATTGTATCTAGTGGGATGTTAATTCCTAAGTAATACCATATTAAACCTAAGTCAAAAAACTCACCTTTTGTAATCTGTATTGGTTTAGCATGGAAGGGCAGACTATGTAACACCACAAATGGCCCCATGTAAGGATCTGAAGAGTTAAAGGAAACATGGATGGTGCTAAAATACCAGGATTTAGATATGGCTGATGTATGTAAAATCCCCCCTCCCCCATCCTTTTGAGAAATGTGTTCTGGTGGCAAGCCACTTAACACATCTTTCTTCCTACTATATTTAGTTTTTGTATTTTATTCTTCATAACAGTGTCATAAAATTTTGAGTCTATTGAACTTTAGAGCTCTGTAAAGGTAGCACAGGGTCAGTTTGAAATCTCAAGAGGCTTCAGTATGAATTGCATAACTAGAAAAAAAAAAAAAAATTAATTAACATGAGCCAGCTTTTCCAACAGTAACACTTACACCACACCCTTCATGTGACTGGAATTGAATGGGTGCTAATCCTTTATCTAGTTGCCAGATACATTCCTCTTACTTCAGTTATTTTCATGTAAATTATCGGGAATCTATATAACAGTACAACCCACCATAAGATATCAAAAACCATCCAGAATATTATGTCCCTTAACCCATTCGCGACGGGGAAAATGAACAAAAAATGGGGAAAATGCTGTGCTCATTTTTTATATTTTTTGTGAAATGTCTCTACATATAGATGGCTTTCCCTTACCTGAGTTCACCTTTCTTTGAATTTTACTAGTGCTATGAATATCAATAGTGTTATTTTTATTATAAACATTATAATTACAATAATATTATAATCAGTAGTAATAGCAAAATAAGATAACGTAAAATATTTTTGTAAATTAAAGAAAAGGGTAAACAGGCGAGACAGGCAGCACTCGTAACTGGCTCATTGGTGTTTTAGTTCAAGTGTAGCCATCTATGTGTTAAAACAATAAAAAAAAGTAAACTCACTGTGGGCATGTCCCAACATTCTCGACTTTAAAACAGCTAGATGTCAATTGTGGGCATTCTCATTACGTCATAACAGTGGGTGGACCTTAGCAGGAGACAGGTTTTGGGTGTTGCCAATTGCCACAGGAAAGATGGCAAAGATTGCTATGATCCCAGAGTGCAGTGTTCCAATTGTAGAAACTCATACTGTAAATATTTGATTTGATTTTTTTTTTTTTTTTTTTCTGATTATAATTAGTATTTGTCATATAATGTACCCTTATAAATTATTTGTGTTCGACTTTGTTTTACATATTGCAGAGTAAATAAATGGAATACGCAACACTGCTCACATCTGGCACAAGCCACCACATCCATGTTCAGCTCATAAGTTTATTTTAGGATCTATTTGGTTTCTATTGGTTTCTATATCATGGCATATACAATATGAAGTAAGCATTAGTCTTAAAATGTTTTATACCACCCCATATTCCGTTTTGTTTAAAACGGAGAAAAATAATTAAAAATTGTGCAATGGCAACACAACTGAAGGCAGGGAATTGGAACATCTGATCCTGGGACGTGGCAGGTCTCTCCACCAAGTATAGTAACGACAAGGCTTAAACAAAACTACAACTATTAGTAATTAAGATAATAGTTGTAATAGTAGTAGTAGTAGTAGTAGTAATCATAGCATAAATAAATGTATACATGTCCAAAAGTGTTCTCTGACTAGTTACCCTAAGTACGTTCAGTAAATGTATTGTTAATTAAATTTTTTTTCTTTAACATGAGCATCAATGCATTCACATTAATGCACTACAATCATGAGGTAGTATGCATTGATATGAGTTTATCTATACTTGTGTTATAGGTTGATTAAAGTTTAAAGTAGCTAAACCGGGAACTAGTCTGAGAACACATTTGAATGTGCACCAACTTTCATGATGAACATAATAACAAATATAAAATAGTAATAACAACAATAGCAGTAAAAAAAATATATATATATATATAAATAAAAAAGAAATAATAGTAATCATGATAATAATGATCAGCAAGATTAGGATCATGAACATGAAAATGATTATATAATATAATTATTGTTATTACAATTAGCAGCAGCATTGACATTAAGATGGAGATATAGATATGAAATGATAATATTAGAAATAATACTGATAGTGGAGTTAATAACAGTAGTAATATTATCATTATCATTATTCTCATTATTTTTATCACTATTGCTTTGTTGTTCTTGGTATCATCATCATCAACAATCATATCACAATATTAAACTATTATAGTTGCTGTTAACATCATCTAATAAAGCTACCACTTCTGGGTCGCAAGGCTCTGTTGGCAGGCGGCCAGCTGATGTTCCCGCGGCAGTCACTCATTTGTCTGGGAACCGAAGGGATTCCCTATCCATGTACAACTCTGACCAGGTTGTATCCACCAATCACAGTTAAGCTATGTGTTCACTCAACCATCAGAACTAAGTGAACTGACTATAGCAAACATACTGTAAAAGAGTATTCAGACTTGGTTGACATAAATAAAAACACGTCATATTGGGATGAGCAAAAGATTAGAAAATGTTATTAAAAATTACACAGTGGAAAAGTACTTGGAACAATGAATCATGAAGTCTTAGCATAAGACCTCATTGCACAAAGAAGAATAGGAATGTTCAAATTAGGTTAAAAAATATTGAAAGTGACTTTCTTGATAATACAAGCAGTAATTGTGAAGTAATAAAGTGGGCTAAGAACCTAGCCAGTCATGCAGAATATAAGAAAATTTGATTAAGAGAAAGTAAGCATTGGAGAAACCTTAACCCATTGGTGCCGGGTATGACGTGTACGTATGTGCTATGCCCACTGTGAGTACTCGTTTGATTGTTTTTACGCATAGATGGCAACACTTGTACTAAATCACCAATGAGCCAACTACGAGCACCGCCACCCATTTACCCGTTTCTTTGATTTACAAAATATTTTACGTTGTCTTATTTTGCTGTTACTTATGTTAAAAAACATTATAAAAATTATAATGTTTATGATAAAAATAACACCATCAATTTTCATAGCACTAGTGAAAAATACGTTTTTCCCGCAATTTCAAATCAGGCGCTAGCAGAGCCATCTATTGGCAGACATATCACGAAAAACATGGAAAGTGGGGACAGCATTTTCCCCATTTTTTTTTTTTAATTTTCCCCGGCGGCATTGGGTTAAAAAAGAAAGCAAAACAAATGTTGTGGGGGGGTTTGGATATGGAGCCTGAAGCCCAATGCTGGGGATATCCCCTACCTTGGGGCCCCCTATCCTTTGCCCTTCCCCCCTGTTGGGGGGGGGGGGGTAGCAGACAAAGACTGAGGCCCTATGTTGGGGATCTCTCGCCAGTCATGAATAGCCTCTTGGAGCCATGTGCACGGTATTCCCTTAGTTAATTGTTTAGCCCATACCCCTCATGAGGACCCTGGGGGTGAACCTTTTATCTTCCCTACATATTCCATGCTTACTGTGGCCAGTAATAATGATTTTGTACCCTATTTCAAGGCATTGAATCTAACTTCTTTGGTTTACCCACCCCTGACTCTCCTTTGATCATGGCTCTGACCACTGCTACTACATCCCCTTCCTTGACATGTGCTGTCAACTTGACCCAACTCAAATCCTCTTCCCAGGTGTAACTCATCCTTCAAAAGTCAGTTTGAGTCTGAGGTGGCAACTCTTGGATTCAGACTTGGTCTCACTCAGGTCTCAGACAGGAAGCATGTCATCTAGGTTTTTCTTACTTCCTACTCCAGTAATGTTGCTCACTCTGCCCCTCCCCACCTCTCTCAAGATGATCTCACACCCTCCCATACACTTTTCCCTCCTACATCTTACTTCCCCACTTCTACCCCCTACCTTCCCCAGTCAAATTCTTTTGCCATTCCAGATCCAGACACTCCAATTTTTACTGCAGCCCCAGCACTTAACTTTCCCTCCATCCCCCCTCCCCAACTGTGGTGGTCCCCATAATGTATTTTATAGGGACTGCCCCACCTACAAATTTGAGTCTGTGGTGGCAACTCTCAGATTCAGACTTGGTCTTACTCTACGTGAAGCCAGACAGAAAACACATCAATGAAGTTTTCTCCTACGCCCTACTCCAGTAATATCACTAGCTCTGCCCCTCCATGTCCCTCCCAAGATGTTCTAATACCCTCACCTATACCTATCCCTCCTACATCTTACCTCCCCACTTCTACCTCCTACCTTCCCCAGTTAAATTCTTTTGCCATTCCAGATCCCGACACTCCATTTTTTACTGCAGCCCCAACACCTTCCCCTCTCCCACCCCACACTACCAACAGCAGACAAACTAAACATTCCACCCCATTTTCTCCTACCACACAATTATTAGCCCTTATCTCCTTTAAAAGGGCCTCTGCCTGTTTTCATTGTACAATCCGGAACAGTAAAACAAATAGCTGGCGAAAGTATGT